AGGGTCGGGCACGGTCCTTGGGTGGGGCCCGGCCTGCTGCGCTGTGCAGGGCACTGGGGATGCTGCCGGCAGCCCCGGGAAGGGGTAGGGGATGCACTGGGGACTGATGCTGCTCCTTTGTGTCCTTGCATCCTGCCTTCGAGGGCACCCCGGGACCCATGGGATGGGGTGGCAGTGGTGGTGGTGGTGGTACCACATGTGGGTTTCGGCATCCCCCATCACCCCGGTGCCTCTCTCTCCCCAGGGGCCGCCCGGACATCCAGTGGAGCAACTTGGACCCTCTGCAGCTGATGGAGGAGCTGGGGCAGTTCACGTCCCTAGAAGGCTTCAAAGAGCTGCTGGACAAGGCAGAGGTGGGGCAGGCTTACATGGAGCGGCCCTGCCTGGACCCCTGGGACCCCCAGTGCCCCCCCAGTGCCCCCAACAAGCAGAGCCAGCAGGTGGGTCACAGCCCATGGGGACCGGGAGGGGTGTGGGGGCTTGCTGCTCTCCTGCCCGCCCCACAGTCCTGCATCCCTGACGCCTCCCCTCCACCCGCAGAGCCCCGACATCCCGGCTGAGCTCTCGGGGGGCTGCCACGGCTTCTCCAGGAAGTTCATGCGCTGGCAGGAGGAGCTGATTTTAGGCGGCACGACCAAAGACTCCCAGGGCAAGCTGCTACGGTGAGAGCCGCTGCGGTGAGGGTGTCCCCGGGCACGGTGCAGGGGCCCAGCCGCAGCACTCACCCCTGGGGTGGTTTGGGGTAGGGTTCCCTTATCCTCATCCTCACCTGGTGCCCACGGGAACCCTCCCTGGCTGCCAGAGGGGCTGTGGGGCTGTCTGGGAGAGCATGTGAAGCTGGCGAGTGTATGGGGCTGGCAAGCAGGGCAGTGCTTCGGAGCAGGTGGGAGGACGGGGGGCAGGATGCCTGGGTCCTCTCCCAGGTGTCTGCGGTGGGGCTGGGAGCCGTGGGGTGGGGGACGGACCCATTCCTGCATCCCGGGGCACTACAGCCGGTCCCAGCGAGGTGCGTGCCTGTCCCCCAGTGCTGAGGCCTTGCAGACCATGTTCCTCCTCATGAGCCCCCGGCAGCTCTTTGAGCACTTCAAGGATGACTATGAGATCCATGACATCAGCTGGAGCGAGGAGAAGGCGGGTGCCATCCTGGAGGCCTGGCAGAGGAAATTCGTGGAGGTGGGCACTGGGAACAGCCCCAACATGGGGCTGGGCAGGGCTGACCCTGTGTGTGGCATCCCCCTGCGCCCAGGTTTTCATGTGGCTGTGGGTCCCGGCACCACCCTCTTGTGGTCCCGGTAGGTCCCTATGGACCCTCATTAGCAATGCTGACACCCTGGGTGGCTCTGGGGGGGAGCAGGGGGGTCCTGACCCCTCTTAACGGGATGTGCCTCTGGCAGCTGGCGCAAGACTCCATCCCACCCAACACCACGCAGAGCGTCCATGCTTTCTCCACCACCACACTCAATGACATCATGAAGTCCTTCTCCGACGTCAGCGCTATCCGGGTGGCTGGGGGCTACCTCCTCATGGTGCGTGTGCCCCCTCTTTCTGTCTCTCACCCTCCCTCCCTCACTCCCTTGTCCCCGCTAACCTGCTGTGCTCTTCCAGCTGGCCTACGCCTGCGTCACCATGCTGCGGTGGGACTGCTCCAAGTCCCAAGGGGCTGTGGGCCTGGCCGGGGTCCTGCTTGTGGCTCTCTCCGTGGCCTCTGGCCTGGGGCTTTGCTCACTGCTGGGCATCTCCTTCAATGCAGCCACCACCCAGGTATGTGCTGGAGGAAAAGCCAGGTGCCGGGGAGCTGGGGGGACTCTGGGGACTGCGGTGTGGCTGGGTCCCTTCCTGGGCAGTGGCCGTGTCCCCCCACTGACACTGGCTGCTCTCCATCAGGTCCTGCCCTTCCTGGCCCTTGGCATCGGTGTGGATGACATGTTCCTCTTGGCTCATGCCTTCACTGAGGCCAGCCAGCACGTCCCCTTCAAGGTGAGCGCCGAGCCCTGCCCAGGGGCTGCCCAGTCCCCTCCTGCCTCCCCACGACCTTCCCTCATCACCCCCTCCCTCTGTGCCTGCAGGAGCGGACGGGCGAGTGCCTGAAGCGCACAGGGACCAGTGTGGCTCTCACCTCCATCAGCAACATGATCGCCTTCTTCATGGCAGCCCTGGTGCCCATCCCTGCCTTGCGTGCCTTCTCCCTCCAGGTTCAAATGGGTTCCCCCTCCAGGAGGGTGGGAAGGGGTGAGCGGACCCAGCTCTGACATGTTTCCCTGCCCGCAGGCTGCGGTGGTTGTGGTGTTCAACTTTGCCATGGTGCTGTTCGTCTTCCCTGCCATCCTGAGCCTGGACCTGCACCGCCGGGAGAAACGCCGGCTTGACATCCTCTGTTGCTTCTACAGGTACTGGCACCGGGCTGGCCGGGCTTGGTCTGACCCCACAGGTCCCCCCACAGAAGCACGGGGTGACTCTGCTCCTCTCCCTCAACATCTTTGCCTCCTTCCCTCTCTCCTCCTTTCCTCTCTTCCTGCAGCCCTTGCTCCTCCCGGGTCATCCAGATCCAACCCCAGGAGCTCGCTGACGCCAACGACAACCATGCCTGCCACCCCTCCCCTTATGGGCACCCTGGTGTGGCCACCAGCACCCAGATCACCACCACTGTGCAAGCCTTCACCCGGTGTGACCCCTCAGGCCACCATGTCGTCACCGTCCTGCCGCCCACCTCCCAGGTGTGCACCTCACCCGCCGTCCTCCTGCCCCCCACTGATCCCCTGGGCTCGCAGGTCTTCACCCCATCCAGCTCCACCCGGGACCTGCTGTCCCAGCTGGACGAGGCCAAGGGCGGGCGGGAGTGCGTCCCCTTGCCCTTCTGCCGCTGGAGCCTTGCTGACTTTGCCCGAGAGAAGTACGCCCCGCTCCTCCTGCGGACCCGGACTAAGGTGAGGTGGGGATGACCCCGGTGGTGCTGCCTGAGGTGTGTGGGTGGCACGGGACCCTGTCTGACCCCCCGCTGTCCCCGCAGGCGGTGGTGGCAGTGCTGTTCCTGGCGCTGC